TAATTGTTTCATTTGCAAATCAGTGATTTGTATTGGTCTATCAGGAATTCAAATAATTAACTTCAGAGAGTTACAGCATTTTTTTCTCACTGTTATAAGCATATATACTAGGTTTCTTAAGAACATGGGTTATCTGTGGAGGATGGGTGCTGTATTCAATCCTAACAGACATATAAAGTATATATTCACATTTATATTAATACAAGCAGACTATTGGGGTTATAAATGCACATTATTTCATGGGACATTGACTACGACATATCACTGTTGGTTGAACTACCCCCCCATATACTAATTGACAAAGCTTATGGAAGGCACTCGGAAAAAAATCAGAAGTGCTGATTATAATGTCAGTCAACTATTAAAGGGGTATTGAGAGTTCTCTAATTCAGGTCTTATCATTTTCAAATTGTAATCAATAAATTCTATCTAATTTATGCCCTTAAGTGTAATTCTTAGGTTATTAGCAAATACCACTAGAAAATTAAATAAATTTATAACTTTTATATCCTGTGGATAATATAATATATTCAACAAGTAAACAGTTATTTTAATTTTGACAGGTTAACAGCTATAATTGACTGAGTAGACAAGTTTTTAATAAAATACCATTTAGGAGGTTGAATTATATTAATTAATCTTGATATACCTTAGTGATAAAGTAGATTGTATTTTAGTGAATAGAAATTTAACTTTTATTTATTTGTTTGTTTATACCACTTCCAGAAAGGACTTATGGATCTTCCAGTGAAAGTACAATAAATACTATTCTGATCATTAACATTTACTAAAATACGCAGGTCAAGTAACAAAGGGAGAGATAATAGCAGACAACCCGTGTTGGGACAACCTATAGAGTCAGCACAAAACTTGGCTCTGAACTTCATTGTAGCCCAAGTAAAGTAAACTTAATTATGATGAAATATGAATCATTTGTATTAGTGACATAAGAAAACCTCATTAACGTTGGATTATTTAGGGAAAGTCTGCCTCAGTTGCGAAATCTAAATTATGTAAGCATACCCCAAAGTCTATTATTTTATATGCCCATTGATCAATGAAGCTTTCCCTAGCAGATATATGGGAAGAAGACTGGTTTTAAAGAACAAATAAAAATAACTAAGAAGTAATATATAACTTGTTTCTATGTGAAAGAATGCTTACTAAAATCATTGGTCTCCACAGGGACCTCGCCCAAATTTATCTGACATAGTTTAATTAGTGCTCCTGAAATCTCATTTACTGAATTTAACTGTCAGACTACTTCTTAAAACAGTCTTAGCACTCTAGGACAATACAGCTCTCTACAAATATGTGTTACTATGTGTAATGATAAAGGTAATTAATGGTAACTTACTGTTAATAGTCATCACGTTTTAAATAATGCAAATGTGAACTGATGAGATTTTTTAGTTTTGCAGCCATTAAAATATGTGGCGAAAATATATGGATTATATGAGAGAGATAGTGCACAAGCTCAGGACCCAGATTTTCAGGGTCCAAATATTAGCGTTACTCTTCTTTACCTGGGTGACCTTGAAAAAGGTCCTTAACATCTCTGTGGCTCAGTTTCTTTTAAGAAGGGGAGGATGGGAGTAATGATCACGTGTGATTGCTGTGCTGAAATATGTAGCCACTTAACAGTGTGTGCAATACAATAAACACTCAAAGAGGAATTAGTAGAACCGTGTAGCTACTCAGACTGAGTATTTATTTACATACCCAAATCAAAATTAAATCAAAACTAAATTTTTAAATATTTACATGCCACACAAAACTCACTCTGCCTCTGTGCTACAGCCATTATAAATGCTACTTTTGTTCAGTCCTCATGTTTCCCCAGGTAAGTACCATGCCTGCTGTACAGGTGACAAAACAGTCGTAGAGAAATTCGTTAGCTTGTGTAAGGACGGGCACTAACAGGAGCGGAGCAGGATTCCCCTGCAGCCTCCTACTCCATTCATTCCCACTGCTGCACAGTCTGCTCCTCTGGCTGCCCCATCCCACTGCTGGGGCGTGTCTGAGTGAAGCCACGTACTTTGGAGGAACGCGTTTTACTCAAAGCAGTAGGTCTGTCGCAAAGTTACAATGAAAACGGTTGAAATGAGCACAGATTCATTTAATGTTTAATTAATGAGATTTGAAAACTTTGCTACTCATCTTTAACATTTACCTCACTTGTATGTGTGCTCTATATATAGAATGTAGCATAATGATTTGCCCTTCCTAATTGATTATTTTGTCGTCTTTTTCTTTTTTTCTTTGCCTATACTTGGGTTCATTCTGAAATGTGACACTTCATTTGGCCCTTTGTGCTCTGTGTCAGCGTCTTCAACTTTATGGATACCATTCACCTACTAATAGTGTATGTACAATCCTTTCAATGTTCTTTATGTGAATAGCCCTCCCCTGTTATACTTGATCATGTAATTTTGTTATAAAAAGCTGTACCTGCTACTGAAAATGTCTAGGAACTTCTTGAATGTAATAGGATACAACTGAGCCAGAATTTTTTATTTCCTTCCTAGATTTATGAGAAGACTAAAATTTACAGGGTAATTATGTATCTTTAACATTAAACTAAAGTAATAAGCTGAGTGAGCAACAACCAAAACCTCTGGTAGAACAATTGAAATTTTGTAATTTTCACCAGTATTTGAAGAGTTAAATACACAGTATGGAGCAGATTTCCACCCCGTGCTCCTGAAGAGCACAGGTATTTTAAGAACTAGATCTGCATATCTGATATACATTCTCTTCTCAGTTCTAATATAGAGGTGTGGTAATGGATAGCCTTTCTTAGTTTTCAGTACTTCTTCTCAATTATTTTCTAAAACCTTTGATGCCTGCCTACTGCCTATGGTTTATATACAAGTCTGGTATAAGGTGATATTTGATAGCCTAATATATCATGTTATTTCTCAAAGAGGATTATGATATTCAGACTCTTCTTTTCCTGACAAAGTTGGGAGTTTGGTAAATGATCTTTCAAATGTACTCTTCTCATGCTAAGCTTTCTTCTTTCTGCTGGAAAGTTGAGCTTGTTGGGTCGCGCAGCTACTAAACAAGAGTAGGCCGGGCCCCTTTTGAATGTAAACACGCACAATCCATTTAATTTTCCCAAGGTTAAAAGGATCCCTCCAATGGTACAAATTCCGCCTGAGAGAAGTCCTTGAATTCGAGTGACTGAGTCAGTATTATCCTGCTAAAAGGGTTGGTTAGTGTGCAACACTCTAAGTAGCTGTGCTGCCTTAGGCATTGAATAATCAAAAGTCCAAGCTATGTTCTAGATGCAGGTATACTGGAGGCTGACTCAGAAGAGAATAAGCCTGCGATATCTTGCCAAAGTCACAGGGAATGGACCTGGAATGAGCTGGAGAATCAGCCAAGTCCATGGGTCCCAAGCGATAGACTAGTTATTTTGCTCCCTTACGGGATAACTTAAAATACTTTTCCACAAAATTGACTACTGTTTGTCATTAAACATGGTTTACCATTTCCTTGATATTTTAAAAAGTTTCCTCTTAATCATTTAAAAAGTTTGTAAGAATATGAAAGAAAAATCTTACAAATTATAATGCTATCTGCCTTGTGAGTGCTAATAAACATTAATACTTACTTCATTGTTTTTCTAACCAAATATGTCATTGCATGAGCCATTTTTTGGCAATTTGTGGCAACTTGTAGTTTGCCTTTAAACTCATAAATAATTTTCAAAAATGCAGGAAAACAAGGAACATTTATTTGCATTTAAAAAAATTTAGACAGCCTAAAAATTAATATGAAATATCATTGGTGTGTGTGTTGCACAAGTATATTAGTATAATGTAATGAATTAACTGGTCATTATCTACTAGTTTACAGAGCTGTAGATCACCTGGAGGGTAAAGTGTTTAATGTGAGCACAGTTCATGAGACTCCACTTTCACAAAGAAGCCCTGCGGTAAAAGCAGAGGCCCTCCTGACTTTTACTGCAGAGACAGAGTCTGTCCTCTGTGGCGGCCTGTTTCGATACCCAGTCCCTGCTACGCTAGGTTCTGCTTGTGCTCAGTTAGGTTATTGTTTCTGCTGTATTTCTCATTTCAGTATTCGTGAAATCATTACCTTATAGCTTTTTCTCTTCCAAACAACCCTGATTATTTTCATATTTCTCATATAGCCAGCCAGATCTTGATTGTCTTACTACTATATTGAAAAGAAATACTAAGAAATTAAAAGAATAAATAATACAAAAGTCTATTTGATTTTGGCATGCCTTATGTGACTTTTAAAATACTTAAAGATTGCCCTGGCTGGTGTAGCTCAGTGGATTGAGCACAGGCCTGCGAACCAGACAATCGAGGTTCGATTCCCAGTCAGGGCACATGCCTCGGTTGCAGACCGGTTCCCTGCAGGCCAGTTCCCAGCAGGGGACGCACGAAAGGCAACCATACATTGATGTTTCTCTTCCTCTTTCCTTCCCATCTAAAGATAAATAAATAGATAAAATCTTTAAAACAAAATACTTAAAGATTATCTGAATTACACTCTTTCCACTGTGGTCAGAAAATGTACTAATTTTTATACAGTTTTTTGACATGTATTGAGACTTCTTTTAGGGACTAAAAGAATGTCAATATTTATAAATGATCTGTGTTTGAAAAACTGTGTATTTTCTAAGTTGGGGTACAGGGTTATATTTTTAAGATTCTATCTTAAAACACACACACACACACACACACACACACATATATATATATTAGATCAAACATGTTAATTATATGTTTTAAGTCCCTATCATTACTAATGTTTTTGTCTGTTTGATTTGATCTGGCATTAGTATGTTAAATTATACATTACAATGATAGATTTGTCAATTTCTACTTATAATTCTGTCACTTTTTATTTTACATCTTTTAGAATGTTGTTATTGCATATTGAAGAATATAAATTACTTGTATGTCTTTAGTGAATTGAATCTTGTATTATATACTATCGCTCGATATCTAGAAGTGTTTTTACACTGTTAGAGAATAACATGGACCACCTTAGTAGCTTCTGAGGCTAACAAATTTCTATCACCGCAATTACCGTAGCAAACCTAGTTTCCCTCTCTTCTGCAACGTCATGCAGAGTTAGTGATCAAGTTTGCATGAAATATTTTTTATTTTAAAGTCTGTTTTGTTGTTAGAATAAACTTACTACCTTTATTTGTATTTTTCTACAAATCAAATGTTTTATTTTATTTTCCATTACCATTTATCTCCCTTATGAACCCCACCCCCTACCTTTATCTTTATTAATGTTTTGTGCTTTTTTACTTTCTATTTTTTCCTCTGGTGATGATGGAGCTTTTTCTGATTTTTAAAATATATTTTAGTTCATAAATTTACTGCAAATAAAATATAAATAAAACAACTAATAATGAGAGTTTAACCACCATATACATAAAAAATAAACATACAAAAGAAAGCCCCTTCTCACATCTCCCCAACCACAATCGTCTGCTCTTCTCCCAAAGATAACTACGGTTGTAACTTCTGTGTAAATCACTTCTTTGCTTTGCAGTTTTACCACCTGCTTATGCACCGTAAATAATACGTTTTACCCATTTTGAAACTCTTATAGTGGGATCATATCATATGAGTTTCTCCATATCCTGTTTCTTTGACTCAGTATCGTGATTGTCAAGTTCATTCTCTGTGTTGTATCTGATCCTAGTTCATACGCTGTCACTGCTGTATGCAGCACTTCTCAAACATTTGGTTTTCAGAGCCCTTTACATTGTTGAAAATGATCAAGGACCCATAGGAACTTCTGTTTATGTTGGTTATAACTAAGTATATTTATTATATTGGAAGTTGAAACTGAGAACTTTAGAAATATTTATTAATCCACTCTTAAATAAAAAACACACATGTTAACAAATGCTTTATGGAAAATAACTCCAAAAATGTAGTCAGGATGGCGGTATATTACATTCTTTGCAAATCCCTTAAATGTGCTGGCTTCACAGAAGGCAGCTGGTTTCTCCTAGATGCTTCTGCATTTGGTCTGTTGAGGGATGTTATTTTGGCAACAAATACGATCAGTGGTTTGTCTTGGAGCGGCAGGCTCACTTGGTTCACTTTCAAAAAAATTGTCTGCCAGACACCAATGTCTGAACAACCATAGTTTGTCTATGAGTTTTTCTTTCAAGTAAAAATAGTTGTTCATGAAAGTGACTACTTCTCTTTTCAGCACAAACCATCACACAAATGTTTTTTTTCTGAATACAGCCCCATTACTTCAGTAGGCAGGAGAAGTACATCCCTCCCATTTTATCACACTGAACATTGAAAAGATGTGTGCCCAAAGGTCAGTTTAACAAAATCGTAAGTTTACTCTTCAGCAAGTACCTCATAAGTGAAACTTTTTTTTAATGTGAGTAGGTGGAACTGAAGAGTGTGATGTGATGGCTTTGGTCTTTGGTGCCCCTGTTGTCCATATACTAAGGCTTCAGAAGTTTTACCCCCTGCTGCTTTTGCAGTGTCATCCCGACTGTCAGCTCGGTTACCAAGGGCAAAGTGCCGTCTTTAAGATGCTTTGTAGGAGACACCTGTTTGATATTTGGTCCAGCATTTTCAGTTATTCTCAGCGAGAAGATTGGTGCTATCACCAGCCTGTCATGTTTAAAAGCCTGGTACATCCTTTCCAACCTCTTTTCTTATATTTTTCAACTTCTCTCTCTCTCTTTATATTTCCTCTCTGTGACTCTGATTAAGATTTTGTTTGCCTTTATTAAAAGTATATTTTGTGTATTTTATTGGTTCCCTTTATCTGTGTTCTAATTGGAAAATTCAGTCAATTTATGTTACTGTGATTACTAATTTATTTGGATTTATTTTAGACATTCTAAATAGTTTTATTTTTTCTTCCCTTTTTATTTTTCTCTGTATTCATTTAGAAATCATTCCATTCTATTTTCTCTATATTCTTGAAACTTTAATAAGTGTACTTAAAATAATAGTCTTAAATTAGGCCATATCTTTACTCTCTTCCTTAAAAATTCTTAAATAGATTCTTAAAGTGCTGTAATATCTTTCATTCCCCTCCTGGCATGGGTACTCATCATCGCACAATGTTTGCCTTTGTCTTTTTTTTTAATACCACAAATTAGACTTATTCAATATATATAACATCAGTATTTGTTTAGAATTACTTACATATTTGCCATTTCTTACTCATGAATTCTCTCTTTGATCTCACCCATTCTCATATCCTCAATGAGGATCTTTTTGTAAATTTTTTAAAATGCTCTTTCTGGAAATAGCTTTACTTTGCCCTTATTTTCCCCAGGTTTTATTAAAATATAATTGACATGTAACATTGTATTCGTTTAAGGCAAAATATGTAATTTGATATATGAATATATAACAATAAATTTACTTAACATCCATCACCTTACATGGTTACAAATGTTTTTTCTTGTGATAAGAACTTTTGAGATCTCTTTTAGCAAATTCCAGTACACACTACGGTATTGTTAACTGTTGTCACCATGCTGTACATTATGTCGTTTATCTTATACCTGGGAGTTTCTACTTGTCAACACCTTCCCCCACTTACCCATCCCTGCCCTGCCACCTGCCCCCGGCAACCACTAACCTGTTCTGTTTCTGTGACTTCACTGTTTTCTTTTCAGCTTTTTTTAAATTGAGGTGTGATTGACATATAGCATTATATTAGTTTCAGGTCAGGTATACAACATAAGGATTCAATGTGTGTATATATGCCCTTATTTTGAAAGATAATTTCACTAGATATATTACTGTGGGTTGACACTTAGTCTCAGCAGATTATATCATTTCCGGCTTCTGGCTTCTTTTGTTGAAATTGAAGTCAGCTCTGAGTCTAATTAGTATTTTTTTGTAGATGATCTATTTTCTGAGTACTTTTAAGATTGTGTTTGCCTTTGGTAGTCTACAATTTTACTGTAGTCTATATCTGTTTGCTCTTATCATGAAATTTATTGTGCTTTTCAAATATGATTGTTTATATTTACTGATTCTTGAATATTTAGTGTAAATATCTCTCTGAATATTTTCTCCTCCTATGTCTCTATTATTACTTTCTGAAGCTTTCACAAATATGCTCTCTTTTGTGTCTCTAAATTTGAATTTAATAATTTGCCATGTTTTATCTTTTCACATTGCATTCAGTATAATTTATTCATATTATCTTCCAGTTTACTTGTTCTCTCTCCAGCTATCTATGATATTAAATTTTAGTGGTTCCAGTTTTCATTTGTGGATGTTTTATTTTGTTTTTCTAATCAGCCTAATACTTTTTCGGTAGTGTATTTTTCCTGAAAAATCCTTTCAAAAACAAGCTTCATTTTTGTAAATTTGATAAATCTGAAGTCTGCAGGTTTAGTTCTATTGCTGGTTTCTCCTAGTCCTCATTTATGGTAGCTTATATTCCTGTACGTTTAGTAATTTTGTATTGCGAGCATGTATTTGTTGGAGCGCCTCTGTGCAGATTCTTTAAGGACCCCGTTAAGGGTGTGTTTGCCCTGCGAAGATTTTCTGTGTGTGGATACATGTGTGTGTTTCTGTTTCTGTTACATACTGGGGGGAACTGCAGTCCCACTGAGTTTAAATCACAATTCTCAGATTGTAATTATTTGAGTTCACAGTTGTCACAGTGGCACAGATGACAGAGTTTTATGTTTTTCTCTGTGCACTTTTAAATATCACTACTGTCTGATTCTATGTGCTACTAGTTTGGTGGTTGTTTGTTTGTTTTCATAGTTTGCCCAATCTCTGAGTGTAAACATTCTCGGACCCTAACTGTATATGAGATCTGGACAGGATATAGTCCCATCTCTAAATCAGTCTTTTTTTCTAGCTTTTTTCTTCTTTCCTTTCATCTTAATTTTCCTCCTTCTTTTATTTCCTTCCTTTTTTCCTTCCTGTTTTCCTCTGTCTTAGTCCATTCGGGATTGCTAACTAACTGCCATAAACTGGGTGGCTTACGAAGAACACACATTTCTCACAGCTTTGGAAGCTGGGAACTCAAAGATCACGGAGCCCGTCGATTCAGTGTGGCGGCTGATGAGGGCCTCCTTCCTGGTTCATAGACGGCACCTTCTTGCTGTGTCTTCAGATGGTTGAAAGGGGGCAAAAGAGCCTCTTGGGCCTCTTTTATGAAAGCTAATTCCATTCATGAAGGCTTTACCCTCATGACATGATCACCTCTCAAAGGCCTTACTCCTAAATACCATAGGAGTACTCCTAATACCTACTCCTAATACCATAACCTTGAAGGTTAGGGTTTCAACATATACAGTTTTCAGGCCTTAGCTTGCCCTTCCATCCCACTCCGTCTCCCTCTTTCCCTCCCTTCATTCTTTCCTTCCTTGCTTCCCTCCTTCTCCCCTTCCTTCCATCATAAATGCCATGGAATACCTTGCATGGGACCATACTTTGGCTCAGCCAAACAGTCATTAGGAATTCTTTGCCCAAACTGCAGGGTTTAAGGAAGTTCTACTAACAACAACTTCTAAACCTAGCCTAAAAATTTATCACGGTTACAGAATACAGTACACTTGGGACATTCTTTTGCTTGTACCGTTCATTTTAAAGTTGTTCTGAACTATCTACATCTTTTTCCTCTTTGAATGAAGGCCTGCACATACCTTACACTTTGGTAGGGAGGCCTAAAGCTCATAGAGTCATCAAAGACACTAAGAAGACTGAGGAAGTCCTTGCCAGTCTTTCTAGATATCGTAACACTTCCTGGCCATCACATTACTCAGTCATGTTTGAACACGTTCCCGTCAGTCTTTCCTTAGCCTGCGTGCTCATGTTCTGATTTTGTATTTGCTTTGCATTTCTTGCTATTAAAATCAATCTTCATTATTGTGGCTACCTTAAATTTATTTTAAATAACCTATTATATTTGTCTGGCATTAAAAATTTCTACTAGTTTTTTGCCCTGGCTGGTGGTGTTGCTCAGTGAATTGAGTGCCAGCCTGTGAAGCAAGGGGTCATTGGTTCGATTCCAAGTCAGGGCACATGCCTCAAATGCAGGCAAGGTCCTCAGTAGGGGATGTGCAAGAGGCAACCACTCATTGATGTTTCTTCCCTCTCTTTCTCCTTCCCTTCACCTCT